GCGTGTAAATCGGTCAAGTGGTTTCTGAGATATAAGCGTCGCAAAACCGTGACCACGGCCGGCCGGCCGGCCGCTCATACTCAGAAATTTCCGTTAATCTAAGGAAAGACTACGCTCGCTTCGCTCGCTCCGTAACCATTGTCAGCCCTGGGTACTCAGCGGACGTCACTAGCCATGCTATCTGTCTGCTGGGTCCCCAGGGGTAACCTTTTTACTAATACCTGTGGTGGCGGGCTGTCCATAGCTAGAAAAAGAGCGGGGAGTGATGTGACCTAATGTGCTTGAATTCCCCTCGTTGAATGAAGTTCTATGGTATTTAACGTAGCCAGGTCACATGGGCATGGAAGGGCACTCCTGCATACCTGTTCCACTATGTTTCACATGGTGGACAATTCAATAGGTATGGGACAAAAAAAAGAATTGATACCAACCTACATTAGGTTAAAGAGTTAGCGACATTAGGTCAAAGGTTAGGTTAGCGACCCCGAGCTGCGGCTTTTTTGCAGATTTCTTCACCAAAAAAGGTCCTAGACCTAAAGCAGTGGTACCAACGCATTGGTCATGTCAAGACACGTCGAATGACATATAGGTTGTTTGAAAAGGTCAAGTTTTATGTTGACCTCATGTGACCTCGAATGGCCTTTGGTTGACGTTTACACATGATCAGTCTCATTTGCTGTATTTGAAGTCACTGGCTACGATTTTGTCATTCCTTTTGATCTAAGCATTCATTTAGAGCCTCAGGATGACAAAAGTGACATAATTAGGGTAATATGACTGACGTATCAGTAAAATAGCCTATAGAAGGATACGGGGTGTAACGAAATTATCCGGTCACCTTTCTTCCCGCTGTGATTAAGTAACAAGACAGCCTGAGGTTTTCCTTTTGATGAAGATATCGCCAGCTTTCATAAGATTTAGAAATGCCTGTAACATTCCAGCTACTGGGTTTTCAAGAAGTGGGTTTGATGTGGACAGACGCCGTATTAGCATGTATGTGCTCACATACAGTTGGGCGGTCCTGGTGCCGGGTGTCCCCTTATTCACTTCCCGCTGGACAAAAATCCTTAAGATCTCTATGAAATCAGGATGACAACTATTTCCAAGTCGGCGCCCGTTAGTCCAGAAGGATAAGAGCTTCTCCTGATGTCACTTCTGATTCTCCTACGGACTTAAATGTAGCGCTCCAGCCTGCACGAAGGCAGCGTGGCTTGAATCAAAATCAATGCGTTTTTAGAAATCGAGCCCTCCCGTGCCGTCCGGTTGAGCGGCTCCAATTATTTGTTTGCCAGGACTTGCTGCTTCGGTAATACTCGTCACTGAAGGTGGTCTTCTGTGACACAATGCACAGCTGGAACATCGCACATAAGCTGAACATGTCCCAGATCTGGATCTTGGCCGGATGTTTGACGCCGGTGACGGCCGGCACGTTTGAGTAATGAGTTACTGGCAGCCAACACAAGCCGCTTTGACGGTTCAAAGGACAATACAGCGCGAATAGCTGCCCACTCCACCAAACGCTCATGTCTTCCCTCGACCAGTGCAGTGGATGTGTCTTGGCGTGAGGCCAAAGGTGGTGCACTAGCTATTTTCCCGTCCATTGCGTTGTCTTTTTCAGTTTGATAGGCAGAAGAACCAAGTTAAGGGGTGGAAAGTGTTGGGCTGGTGGGTCATGATGTGGGCCTTCTAGTTCTTATTATCCATGCCTTGCCAAGAATACAAGTCAATCTGCAGATTGATTGTTGTCGTATGCTTGTCGTTATCTTGACAACTCTCCTAACCACTTGGCAAAGCGCGGCTTTAGCGGTCGCGGCCGGGCTGAGTTAATAGATAGATAAATAAGAAATAGATGTCCGAATAACTTCGTTACACCCTATATACCTACTCTTGCGTGACATTGACTTTGGGGCGGCCTTGGATCGTAACTTTAACTGTATTTAGGGCCTTGACTTTAACCACAAATAGGGGCCTGATAAACTTTAACCTGCTTCAAACATGTGCGAAGACTGCATTTGCGGTCGACGAAACTTGTACGGACATTCCGTACAAGTTTCCGGGCCTTCCAAAACTTGTACGGACACTGTCCGTAGTGTCCGTAGTGGTGGCGACGCCCATGGTAAACAGCCCCCCTGCCACTAATAGGGGTAGCCAGGAGCCTGCCACTAATAGGGTTAATGGACTATACGGCAGTTTTTCGGACTCAATTCATGCCCTGGGGCATTCCACGATAGATCGACCAAAAATAAATAAAATTTACACCCTCATATTTTATTTTTTGCTTAAAATTGGTCTAATGGGTTGTGATGGGCGGGGAACCCAGCTGTGGCAAGGATTTTTTTCTTCGAACAACGGTTTCCGAGATATAGCCTCGGGCAGTTCCTGGAGGTCACACTGCAACCCTATGTTTGGCGGCTTATAACTCAGAAACTATTGGTTTTCTATGGTAAAAACTTCATATGGTTCAGCTTGCAATCAACCAACAAACGTTTTGGCTATCTCGGATTTTCGATTTTTGAAAATTTTGATCACGTGACATCTTGACCTTTTTTTAGAAGAGTGACCTTGATATTATCCCAACTGAAAGTCGCAATTTTGTCTGATGACGATTAAGGCCTTATCAATTGTCATTCATATGCGCAAATAAAAAAAGTGGCTTTCGGCCTGCGTTGACCTCAGGTCAGGTCATTTTTATGACCTTCCCATTATTACGAGCGGGAGCGACAGCGAGATCTCGAGAACAAAGCAAGATAGTGACAAGTGGTAAACGGCACAAAGTACACATGGATAAGGTCTACAATTTTTACTCAGGTCATTTTCAGGTCAGATCAAAGATGACGTCACAGGGGTAAAAAGAAAGTCTAAATGGCGGCACTACATATATATGAAGTTTTTCTCGAATAACTTTCAAAGTATCCCAGCTATGAACAAACTAATAGCACCATCGTGATCCTCTCGTCGATCCGCATCGAAACATGTGTATGTTGACCTCGAACGGTCAAGATCAAAAGTTGACCTTAGGTCACGTGACCTTAAGGTCATCATATATATCATTCGATGGGCCTTGACGAGCTGAATACAATGAGCCTATCCGCGCGGCTGTATCTCAAACCTGTAAGGAGTTATTAGCAAAAAACATTTGGTGACCTTTAATGACGTCACATGACCCAAGAGCAACGTCACAGTTGACCAAGAGCAAAAAAGGTCTCAAGGTAGTCAAAGTTAGTCGTATATGAAGTCACTCATGGTATATTAGGCAATTCCGACGCGTTTTAGTGTAAAAACAAGGGAGCTGATTTTTCCCCAATTGACTTATAATGGGGTGGTCAAGAAATTGACCTGATCTTAGGTCATCGGTATTGAAATTCAAAACGAACTGGCGCTAGGCGAAAGCAAACACAATGGTGCCTGTTCCACGTCTCTTTCTTTATTAGATCAAAAGGTACAGCCATAACTATTTTGACTTCCTTTTTACCCCTGTGACGTCATCTTTGACCTGACCTGAAAATGACCTCCGTAAAAATTGTAGACCTTATCCGTGTGAATCCTGTACCGTTTACCGCTTGTCGCTATCTTGCTTTATTATCGAGATCTCGCGTCGCTCTCGCTCGTAATAATGGACAGGTCATAAAAATGACCTGACCTGAGGTCAACGCAGGCCGAAAGCCACTTTTTTTCTTTGCGCATATGAATGACAATTGATAAGGCTTTAATCGTCATCAGACATAATTGCGACTTTCAGTTGGGAAAATATCAAGGTCACTCTTCGAAAAAAAGGTCAAGATGTCACGTGATCAAAATTTTCAAAAATCGAAAATCCGAGATAGCCAAAACGTTTGTTGGTTGATTGCGAGTTGAACCATATTGTTTTTACCATAGAAAACCAATAGTTTCTGAGTTATAAGCCGCCAAACATAGGGTTGCAGCGTGACCTCCAGGAATTGCCTGAGGCTATATCTCGAAAACCGTTGTTCGAAGAAAAAAATCCTTGGCACAGCTGGCTTCCCCGCCCATCACAACCCATTAGACCAATTTTAAGCAAAAAATAAAATATGAGGGTGTACGGCTTTGGTCGATCTATCGTGGAATGCCCCCCCTAGCAACGGAGTGCGGACCACAGACCGTTCCAAGGCCGTCTTGAGCAGTACATGTGACCTGATTTTGGCAAACCATGAGCAAGTGTTCATGAAGAGCAGTTTGTGCTCGGCTCCATCACACAGCATACGATTAGACACGGCTCTGATTGCAATGATTGATGAATGCCGCCATCTTAGGCTGGACTGTTGAAACGGAGGATTGTAGAGTCGATAGTCGTCTTCCTTCGTCGACGAAAGACAAGGAAAACTGTCCCTCTTGCACCTCCCGTGCTTCAAAATGAATGTGATATGTGCGTACACAATGTTTGCATACCGGCATGCACTTTCCAAGCATACCTACAGAGGCATATGCTCTCAGCGCTTGGCTCACCACAAACATCGTTCTATTTCCTAAACGACCTATCCATCGAACTATCGGTTAAATAGTATCCAAGTGAAGTGATACAATCGTTGTTCTTGTATTATGTATACGCACAACAATATACCGAAAAATTGTACGTGTTGTATTGCACGCACAACATTGTACATATTGTACCGATTTCGGAACGACATAAACCAGGATTATATACGAGTAAATAAATGTACTCGTATGCCTCGCAGCCTGGATGAGTGACATTTGACGCCTTGAGTGTCACATTTAGTTTTGTCCTCTCTCTCTCTCTCTCTCTCTCTCTCTCTCTCTCTCTCTCTCTCTCTCTCTCTCTCTCTCTCTCTCTCTCTCTCTCTCTCTCTCTCTCTCTCTCTCTCTCTCTCTCTCTCTCTCTCTCTATCCCCCTCCTCTCTCTCTCTCTCTCTCTCTCTCTCTCTCTCTCTCTCTCTCTCTCTCTCTCTCTCTCTCTCTCTCTGTCTCTCTCTCCCTCCTTTGATATCTCTGTTGACGTCATTATCTCACTTTATGTCCGGCAGTGGCGGTGGTGATTGTCTTCTTCCTCTGCTGGGCCCCATTCCACGCCCAGCGGCTGCTGTTCACGTACGGCACCGTCTGGGACAACTGGACCAGTGAGACGCTCCGTACCGTCAACGAGTGGATCTTCTACGTGGCCGGTGAGCTGCAGTCAACTGAGGGTGCTTTGTGTTTGTGTTTGTGCTTGTGTTTGTGTTTGTGTTTGTGTTTGTGCTTGTGTCTGTGGTTATGCCTGTGTTTTTGGTGGTATTTGTGATTATGTTTGTTTTTGTGATTGTGATTGTGATTGTGATTGAGACTGTGATTGTGATTGTGATTGTGATTTTGATTGTGTCTGCGACTATGTTCGTGTCTGTGGTTGTGCCTTTGTTCGTGTCTGTGTTTGTTTCTGTGCTTGTGTCTGTGTTTGTGTTTGTGATTGTGATGTGTCTGTGACTATGTTTGTGTCTGAGCTTGTGTCTTGATGCACGCCTGTGTCTATACTTTTTTCACTATATACAGCATTTAAATGGGCCGTTGGTTGTAGGTATGCATGATTTAACCCGCGCCCCACTGGGGTCTGTGTATAACACGCCCTACTGGGGGGGGGGGGGGCTATTCATAGCCCCCCTCCTAACTCCGAAACTACTGGGCCGATCGTCAAAATTCAAACGGCGTCTGATAGCCCCGGAAAAACTGTCGAGCGAAACCTAATTTTATTGACCTCGAGGTCACCGATGACGTCACAGGTCAGGTCAAAGTAAAAATTATTAGCACTTTGGCTTGTTCACATTTTGGGCTCTGGCCGCCGTCTTACAAGTCAGATCAGGCTCATTTTTGGTTTCCACACTCGTGAGCAGATGCTCTAGATACCTTGAGGGTACCAAACTTGTACTTTGATTTTCAGGTCAGGGTCAGGTCATCACAGGTCACGAAAATATTATATCATGCGTCGGTCACGTGACACATGTTTTATGGTCCATTTAGGCCATAGATTTCGAATTTGATGTCGTCTGTGTCATTCGAGGTCATTTTGAGTCGAATTTAGCTTAGGTCAGGTCACTTTCAGGTCAAAAAAGGTCAAATTTTGAAGTTGAGATTTTTCAACAAAAAATATGCAGTTTGAGCTCAGGAACACGATGGTGCCATTTATATTGGTGTACGATGTCCAATACGTACTGAAAAATTGATTTGAAAAATTAATAATTGTGAATTTTTTTGCAATAATGCGTATAACTTGGCCATTTTTGAAGATATTTAGCTAAAATTTGCTAGAGTTAGTCATAATCATGCGTTTTGTCACATATATTCCGGTTTTTCCGAAAAGTCAAAAATTTTTTGAAAAAAATATAAAAATATAAACTTTGAATATTATTATATAAAATTTTCAAAATTTTCAAAACTTTGAAAATCCGAGATAGCAGTTTGATAGCGCGGTCAATTCTGAGTCCTTTCATGCAAAGAAATTGGATCTAGCTTAACCCTATTCCTGGCGGGGGGGGCCTCAGGAGCCCCCCCCCCTGAGGTTTTTTGGTTATTTCTCCCAAACGCGTTGAGCTAGGAAGCTCAAATTTCCTGACTTTTCCTATAAGGCTTCTACGCAACATGTCTGAAAATTTTGAGTTGATCTGACCTCAGGTCAGGTCACCAGAGGCGGTTTGGTGACCCTACCTCAGAAAAGTTTGCAATCACGCCAGAGCTAAAGTTTTTGACCGATCAATTTCTTCTCTTCAGGCTTTAGTAAGGGTACCAGTATGTGCAATTTGTATATCTCGGAATTTTGATATCGGTGACCTAAGGTCAGGTCAATTTCGCGACCTCCCCATTATAAGTCAAGGGGGGAAAAATCAACTCCCTGTTTTTACCACTAAAACGGGTCGGAATGGCCCCATATACCATACATGACTTCATATACGATCAACCTTCACTACCTTGAGGTCTGTTTTGCTGTTGGGCAGCTGTGAGGTCATGTGACGTCATCAAAGGTCACCAAATGTTTTTGGCCAATAACTCCGTACAGGAACAAGATACAGACGCGTGGATGGTCTCATTGTGTTCAGCTCGTCAAGACGCATCGAATGATATACATGATGACCTCGAGGTCACGTGACCTGAGGTCAACCTTTGACCTTGACCTTTCGAGGTCAACATATATATCATTCGATGCGGATTGACGAGAGGATCACGATGATGCCCTTAGTTTGCTCCTATCTTGACTAATTCGAAAGTTATTCGAGAAAAACTCTCTCCATATCTAGCGCCGCCATTTTGACTTTTTCGACCCCTGTGACGTCATCTTTGACCTGACCTGAAAATGACCTAGGTAAAAATTGTAGACCTTGTCCATGCGTATCCGATGCCGTTTACCGCTTGTCGCTATCTTGCTTCGTTCTCGAGATCTCAGGGGGGGGGCCGAATCGGCCCCCCCCCCCGCCAGTTTCTTGTCCCGGCGGAGCCCGCCAGGAATAGGGTTAAACACTGAGCTCTTGGGAGCGATTGCCGTGGTTCAATGTTTTGCGTCGAAATCGGACGAACATGACGTCACTCTGACGTCATTTCCGGCCGACCTATGGCAGGTACGAAGGTCAAATTTTGACACAAGGTGTCAAATTGATGCAGCCGAAGGTACTGAAAGTTTGGCGCCGATCCGTCAAGCCGTTTGGAAGTTATTGAAGAAAAACTGGAGGGGGGGCTATGAATAGCCCCCCCCCCAGTGGGGCGCGGGTTAACAGTTGTAGCGCTAAAATTACTTGGTTATTAGAAGATTTATTGGTCAGTGAGTAGTAACAACCTAATTAAGTTGTCACATTTCGTAAATAGTCTTCTTGCTGCCCGTTCCTCAACATATCTGGTATGTACAGTGCGTTAGCTATGGGACACGTAAATTATCAGTGATTTATTAATGTCGATTAATACAGTCAGAACAAGTTTTATCCGTCAGTAAGTCTGGTTTACAGGTAACAATGAATGTGGCACAGAAGTAACGAAATAGAATAACCCGGATCAGTGGACCATCCTTTCTGTAGTGGTGAAAGGGGTGAACTCAATATAAAGCCTGTCCTGTTTTGCCGTCAACCGAGGATTATTGCTAGATTGCGTCCGACACATAAGTTCATTTTGAAAATTGTTTGGCTCTGGTGATCTAGCTATAATGTAATTGAACACTATTGCCAGTGCCCGTTGTGACGTGAGCTTTATTTCATTGATGCAACCAATGGAGAGCGCGGCTTTGATGTGCTCAGTAACAATCAGCTGAAGTACGAACCATGCTCTAAAGAGATCTCCATTTCAGCGAAGTGGACTGGTGCTCTATAACGCCATGTTGCGTTGATCGGAAATAGTCGGTCCTTTAAGAGCTGCATGGGAGCAAGCTAGAGGTCATTATTTTCCATTGGGTTAACTGGAGACACAAGAAAAACTGTGAGATCCAATTTTTGTTGTTGGGGTACGTAACAGCCATCATAATACGCATATCAATATGATGTATCATACATCCAACACTACAGTGTTTACCAGCAGAGAGGTACGCTTTCAAATATTCCAGCTAGTCCACTGTTTATCCATTTGCGGTGGCGGCAGCCGTCACGAATTTAATCCCGCTCAGATTGCTTTCCGTCTGAACACATACCAAAGGAAATATCGGCTCCGCATCCCACTCCCTAACGGTTCGCAGTCTGCCAAGGCAGTCGGCGGAGGCACTGTTCCGGGGCGCCGCCGACGCCGGCTGTATGTCTGTCTGTGTGTCTGTCTGTGTCTGCCCAGGGGAGATAGGCGCTTCGTCTGATTAATCTGGTCCGTGCCGAAAGGTGTCTGAGTTTCTTTAGGGAGGGATCCCCCACGCCGCCAATTCGGAATCGTGAAGACGCCTGTCGATGAAAGATTTTGTAATGTAGCCTAGCACTGATAATTTGATCAATGGTGGGCTTCAAAATGTCGAGGTGGTGATTTCGTCAGCCGGGTCCGATTTATTAATATTCAAAATGAACGCGTATTTTCTATCTCAGAAGTTCTTAAGACAGAATTACGGGGAATGTCAAAAAGCACGAATCGCATGTGCTGACACACCATCCACATTTCATGCAACATTTTAACCCGCGCATGACTGGGGGCTCTACAGAGCCCCCCCCTTTTTCGTTAATATCTTCTAAACCGTTTGACGGATCAACACGAAACTTGCCGTATCTTCAGCAGCATGCTTTATTTTTTCAGGTAAGGACAGTGAACAAAGGCGAGTAGATAGGACAGTATCACGTTGTTCTACAGCGGTAAAACCCACTTAACCCTCGCGGGCCCGGGGGGGGGGCGTTTTTCGCCCCCCTGGCGAATATTTGCGATAGCTCCCGAACGCTTAGAGATAGGAAAGCGAAACTTTCAGTACCTTTTCTCCCATCAATTTGACATCTTCTGAAGTAAAAAATTTGTACCTAGCCCCCTTGATGACGTCACAAGGTCCATTTTTCTAGACCCCTGCACGGCAAACTTCGGCGTCACAGACGCAAACTTCAAATAGCTGCTAAAAATAGAGTTTTAAAGATAAAGACAAATTACGAGCACGGTTGTGTAGCGTTTGACCTAGAGAAAAATAGAAAACTATTTTTCTATTTTTCTCTAGGTCAAACGCTAAAATAGTTCTGGTGACCTGAGGTCAGAGGTCAGGTCAACGACCCCGAAATGTGGTTTTAGTTTTTCGCAAAAATGGTCCTAGAGCTACGGCAGTGGTACCATCGCATTCGCCTTGTCAAGCCGCGTCGAATGATATATATTTTGTTCGGAAAAGGTCAAATTTTATGTTGACCTCATGTGACCTCGAATGACCTCTGGTTGACCTTGACTCATGAAAGGTCGTTTATGATGGATTTGTATCCGCTGATCACGAATCTGCCATCTATTTTCCTCTAAGCCTTCATTCAGGGACCGCGGATTCCGGGGGGCAGGGTGTGCAATTGCACACCCTGTAAATCCTAAGGGTGTGCAAACACCTATTTTTGCACACCCACAGTTCGTTGTGGGGGCCCATGCGGCCCTGGCGCTTGAGTGTCCCAAGCCGATTCTCGAGGGCCCCAGCGCGAGCCTGATGGTCCCGCACCGGTGCCTGAAGGCGTGAACAGGTTCTAGTGTTATCTCAGGGGTTATCTCAGAACCCCACCCACGCCATTTTTAG